CAGACATGTACCTTAGGCTTGGGAGGATTGAGTGAGCGAGAGACCCTCGTGCCTAGGAGGCTCACTTTCATGATGCTGGCAGGATTAGAAAGGATTAACAGACAGGACGCAGCAGGTGAAGCTAGGCAAAATCACATCAGATACCTGCACGATTAGCACAGGAGCCCCCCCAGGGCTGTGTGCTCTCTCCCCTATTCTTCTCTCTATACACCAATGACTGCATCTCAAAAGATCCCTCTGTCAAAATACTGAAGTTTGCAGATGATACAACAGTGATTGGTCCCATTCAAGAAAACGATGAATCTGCATACAGACGGGAGGTTGAACAACTAGCCTTGTGGTGCAACCAGAACAATCTTGAACTAAATACACTCAAAACCATAGAAATGGTGATGGATTTTAGAAGAAACTCTCCTATACTACCACCTCTTAAAATACTAGACAACACAGTATCAACAGTAGAGTCCTTCAAGTTTCTAGGTTCTATAATATCTCCAGACTTAAAATGGACACCTAACATCAAAAACATCATCAAAAAAGCTCAATAAAGTATGTTCTTTCTGCACCAATTCAGAAAGCTCAAACTGCCCAAAGAGCTGCTGATCCAGTTCTACAGAGGAATTATTGAGTCTGTCATCTGCACCTCCATAACTGTCTGGTTTGGCTCTGCAACCCAACAAGACAGGCACTGACTTCAGAGGATAATTAGAACTGCAGAAAAAAAAAATTACTACCAACCTGCCTTCCATTGAGGACCTGTATACTGCACGAGTCAAAACGAGGGCTGTGAAAATACCTACAGACCCCTCACATCCTGGACATAAATTGTTTGAACTTCTACCCTCAAAATGACGCTATAGGGCACTGCACACCAGAACAACAAGATACAAGGAGTTTTTCCCCAAATGCCATCACTCTGCTAAACAACTAATTCCCACAACACTGTCAAATAATTTATTAAGTGTATTACTATTATTATTCTCTTCCTTACTAGTATCTATCTCTTCCCACTTACTACTTATTCCCACTTATTACTATAACCATGTTGCTTGTATCTTTCAATGATATTGTTTTTATTTGTTTCTTAGTACGATTTGACAGCTTATTAGTCACCTTGACTTTCACTAACTGTTGTATCTTTTTATTCTTGATGAATGTATTTTATTCTCCTTATGTACACTGAGAGCATATACACCAAAGACAAATTCCTTTGTGTCCAATCACACTTGGCCAATAAAGAAAGGATTAAGTTCAGGGTTCTAGACTCAACTACCATGGGCCTGCTTCCACTCTAGACCAGTCCACCACCTCTTCCTCCCACTCCAAGATCAGATGGCCAGCAGTCCCCATCTCTGCCTCCAGATGCCAAACAAAGAGCCCAGTCATTGCGTTGGTGGCTAATGCCAATCAACTGGGATTCTGGAATCAGGCCACCATAACTAACAGTTTATCAGAGTAGGAAGCCCGTTTCTAAAAATAGGCACATGGGGAACATGATTACTCCATGAGTCAATAGTGACTGTCCTTCAGCTGATACATTACATAGGCAGACAGCTGCCTCAGGCTTCGTTCTCCTAGAGAGACACAGGGCATTACTCTCTTCGCTTGCTGTTACCCCTGATCACGCATAGATTTAATTCATGAATTCTTACTGTAGCTCTTCAAAGTGATCCGATGGATCCCATTAGCTTCTCACAGGGTGGATAAAAACGGATGACTTTAAAAAAAAAAGATTTTTTTTTAATTTAAATCAGATTTCTTTTTATTTTTATCAAATTTATTTTAATAAAATGCTTTTGGAGTAAAAATGTATCTAAAGATAGTTTCTTATTTAAGATACATTCGTAATTTAGTTTATTCAGAATGAAATGGAGCATCATTAGGTAGCATGAGGCTGTATATTCTGCAATATTGGGACTGTCGGTGAGTCAACAGCAAGTCAGAGGAGGAGCCGCCGAGGGACAGAGATGACAGTTGCTCTTTAAAAATGATGATTTAAATTGAGTCAGTTTAAATCAAGTCTTTTTACTAATGATTTAAATTGTGATTTAAATCAACTTGATTTAAATCAAATCCACTCTGGCTTCTCACTTGGAATCTGGACTTGGCTATGAAGACAAGATAATGCTACAATGGGATTGCTACTTCATGGCCAAAGTCAATTCCAGGCCCCCCAATTGGGCTTCCCAATTTCTCCCCAAACTCTTGCTGCAAAATAACAACAACAACACTCCTTGTACAAGACAAGAAAAGAGTCCATCACCTTTGTATTATTTCTAGTATTTGCAGCCGAACAATAGAAGGAAGCCTGCTGGCTGCATTTCCCAAGTTATTCAACTGTCACTCATCTTGTGTCATTTCCCTTTTCAGTGAATAAATCAAAGTGATCCCAGACCTCCGGACTTTTCGTGGGGCCCTAAAAACTTACTTTTTTCAGTTAGCCGGGCTGGCCTGATTCCATGTTGGTTTTAACGTTTGATACTGATTTTTAATTGAAATGTTTTAAATTATGGGCCAAATTTCATTTAATTTATTTTTAAAAATTATTTTAACTTTTGTGTACAAATGTTTTTATTTTGGCTGTTCACCGCCCTGAGTCCGAAAGGAGAAGGGTGGTATACAAATCTAATAAAAGATAAAGATAAAATATTACTTTAATTGAAGGCACGCTTTTGATTGTCTGCCACACAACTGCATCGCTCCCCTGCTTTACACATTGTGGTTGCGTTAGTTTAAGCAGAAAGTACTAATCTTGTGTGGCTTCCTGCTGGAATTTTTTTTTTAGACTAGTAAAGGACACTTTTTGCAAACTACAAGCTATGCTTAGTCTGTTGTGTGGATGTTTAGGTGGTTTAGGGGTGGGGAATTTGTGGTAGTGGGGGTGTTTGGGGATTGTTATGTGTGTTGGACCTGGTCTTTGGGTGTTAAGTGAATTTCGTTGTTTGGGTATACTGTGTATACACGAACAATGACAATAAAATTATTATTATTATGCTTTGTTTGAACATCAACCATAATATTCTACCAGTCTGTCTCACAAGAATCTGCAATACAATTGGGTACGTACATAGTTTTTGAGCAGTTTTACGTCTTCCATTTATGCTGAAGTCAAAGACTTCGATGTGGTTCACATTGTTTATTTATTTATTAAATTTATTTTCTGTCCATCTCACTGTCAGGCGACTGCGGGGACTTATAACCTCATGAAAGCAAAAAAAAAAAAAAAATTATAACTAAGGGGGGAAATTAATACTTTAAAAAAAAAACAGAATTTAAACAAGTTAGAAATCGGAACACAAAAGTGTGGGGGTGGGAACTTCTTCCTTGTTGTTCTGACCTAGGCTTCACAAAAGCACGAAGTAGACTCCTTGCCCCGACAAAATCCCTTTTTATTAAGCTAATGTGAATTCCTCTCATTCACATCCAGCAAAGCCCCGTCAAACAGTCTTTCAAGGGTGAATTTACAACCACAGACCTTATCAGGCTTGGAGAGCTGCCAGGCCGATATCTTCCAAAAGCAATGCTGTACAAGAAAATACTCGGCAAGGCGTCTCTGAGAGTCACAAACAGAACTTCACACTAATGAAATGAACTAATTGTCTCCTGCAAATTCCCCTCCCCTTTTGCTCCTCTTTATTCCCTATGGGAGGGACCATTCATCATCCACCTGTGCCTTTACTCCTGAGTCGGCCCTTGTTCCTTAACTGTTCCCTTCTCCTGGCTGCTCTGCACATGCACAGCTTGGGAACAGGCTCCAGCTGTTCTTCAGCCCCACTTATCTGCGACTCCAAAGGTAGCTGATAACTGTCAGATGGCCCTGGCCCCATCTCTGCCTCCGACGCAGAGCACTTATCAGAGCCTTCCCCAGACTCCAGGATTGGCCCATGTTCCTCCCCAACCTCCTCACTGTCCAAGTCTGCCACCAGCTCTGCTAGCCACTGGTGGGCCACAACACTTGTCCATTAACCACCTGCAGCATCGAACATCAGAGTTGGAAGGGACCTTGGAGGTCTTCTAGTCCAACCCTCTGCTCAAGCAGGGGACCCTTTGCCATTTCAAACAAATGCCTGTCCAGTCTCTTCTTGAACACCTCTGTCGAGGCCCCAGGCCAACCAGCACACCCAGGCTTTGACGCTATTTTTGAAGGCCAGATCTCACCTTTAGGGACACAGTATTCCAGAGGGCGGAAGCCACGGTAGAAAAGGCCCTTCTCCTATTCTCCACCCTGCGGAATTCCGCAACCAAGGACTGCAATCTGCAACGTGCCCCTTCTGTCAAAACGAGTGGGGCAGGCCAATCCTATTGGGGTGAGAGGGTTCTTCAGGCAGCCTAGACTCTGTTGTGGTCCGCCATCAGCCGGAGAGCTGGCAGTGGAGTCGGACAATGAGGAGGCTGGGGAGGAACATGGGCTAGTCCTGGAGTCTGGGGAAGGCCCGGACGAGGGCTCTGCGTCAGAGGCAGAGATGGGGCCAGGGACACCTGGGAGTGATGCATGGACTCCGGAGCCTCCAGAGTCGGACAGCAGAGAGACAGAGGAACAGAAGGAGCTTGTTCCTAGTGTGCGCATGCGCAGAGCTGCCAGAAGGCACGAACAGTTAAAACAAAAGGGACGACTTGGGAGTAATGGCCTGTAGATGATTGGCCCCTCACATAAGGCTTAAAAGAGAAGAAAAGGCACGTGGGGCCTTTGCAAGGAAAACAACGTTGTTAATTCTGTTCCCAGTCGGCGTCTCTGTTTGATTCTGGAATCCGTGTGGCTTTGCCAAGTAGGTCTTTGGCAGCGTGTCAAAGGAGATAAAGGTTGGTGATTATCCTGAAGGACTTCTCCCAAAGGACTTTTTGCAACTAATTTGGGACTCAGCTGTGAATGAACGTAATTCACAGCTGTTGCAATAAAAGAGTTTTTTGGGACTACTTGTGTGTTTTAATGACTCGGGAAGCCGAGGTCACAACAGACTCATGCCAAACAATAATGCTGTTTTTCTCTTCCCTTCTCACAGTGTCCCTAGAATCCCGTGGGCTTTTGCCATGACTGAAGTATGTGGAGTGATCCTCTGCTACATCTGGTTGCTGGTTCTCCTCCTTCACAGGCACAGGTAGAGCTCTGAAATAGTCTGCTGCTTCGACACGAAAGAATTTGGGGGGTTTCCTGCTCTCCATCATAATTCCAGAAAAACAGGGAACAGAATGTACAGTAGTGGCCAAAATTGTGGAAACCTTTTGGGGAAAGTGTATTCTTGAGGTTTGATGGTTAATAACACCACTTTTTGGGAGGGGGGAAGGAGTTTCAAGATAATCCTATTCCACTGCTGGAATGGCCTGGGAAGAGCTCAGACCTTCACCCAATTGAAAATCTATGGAGCCGACCGACTAAAGAAACTTGTTAGTCAGAAGCAACCCAGCAATAAAACCCAGTTAACAGAAGCAATCATTCAATCTTGGTTTCACATTATAACAGCTGCAGAACTAAAAGACTTGGTTTACTCCATGGGAAGACATTTTAAGGCCATAATTCATGCTAAAGGTTACCCAACTAAGTATTTACTGACGTGATAATTTTTGTATATCTCGTTTTTTCCATGATGATAATTTTTGTATATCTCGTTTTTTCTACCTGTTTCACTTTTCTTCTTTATTCTGTAACTGCTATTCTAATAGCAAATCCTTCCTAAAAGTTACTGCACTACATTCTTGATTAAATTATCTTTCCATTGATATATAATTTTATGATACTACTCCCAAAAAAAGTGGTATTATTAGCTAGTTTTAGAAAATACTTTTTCCCAAAAAGGTTTCCACAATTTTGGCCACTACTGTGTTTTACTGTTAACGGTGAATGCTAACAGTTGTTTCCCACAAAGAAATCATCCAAAGAATGAGCATTTCTCAGATGCCTTAAGCATCCTCACAAAATTGACCTTGTGGGAGTGCAAACGGATTACTTGTCGTGCCACTCAAATCCAGGTAATCCTTGACTTACAACCAAAACTGAGCCAACATTTCTGTGGCTAAGGGAGTTAGATTTGTAAAGTGAGTTTTGCCCCATTTTTATGACCTTTCCTTGCCACGTTCGTTAAGTGAATCACTGCAGTTCTTAAGATGGTTCTTAAGTGAATCTGGCTTCCCCGTTGACTTTGCTTGTCAGAAGGTCACGAAAGGGGATCGCATGAACCCAGGATACTGCAACCGTCATAAATATGAGTCAGCTGCCAAGCATCTGAATTTGATGCATCAGATGACCATGCGGATGCTGTGTTTTTCAGTGCTGTTATAGCCATAGCACTTGGACTTATATACCGGTTCACAGTGCTTTACAGCCCTCTCTAAGGGGTTTAAAGAGTCAGCCTGTTGCCCCCAACAATCTGGGTCCTCATTTAGCAACTTCGGAAGGATGGAAGGCTAAGTCAACCATGAGCCTGGTGAGAATTGAACTGCCGAACTGTTGGCAACTGGCAGTCAGCAGAAGTAGCCTGAAGTACTGCACTCTTTCTATCCACTGGGCCACCACGGCTCTTAACGGGGTTTTTTCTCATGTTTGTAAATCAAATAAAGAGTCCTTAAACCAAATATTTATTTTCATGGGATCCCCTTGTGACAGCCGAGGACAGCCGCAGAGTTCTGAGGGAAGATGCGGCTGCTTTAAAGAGCTGCCAGGCAGGGGCTATGTGAGTGTGCATTTACCCCGCCCAACCACCCCGGTCCTAGATATCTCACTTTTCAGCTCGCTTGCCCCGCCCCGCAGCCCAGCTGATTTGTATGCCTCGCCCGTTCTACTAACTCTGGCTGTCATAGCAGGTGTGCAAGAAGCTTCCCCCATCGGAAACACCTTGTTTTAGGTGTTGCACGGAAGGCGTGCATATGTGCGCGCTCACATTTTCGGCGAACCGGTTGTTAAAGTATATGCAGCCCACCTCTGCCCGATACCCCCACACAGCCACTGCATTCTTCACAAAGCAGACCTACAGGGGATCCCTCAAGAACAACAAGAGACAACGAAGTTAGGGAGGAAAAACTGTTGTTCCACGAGCTTTGTAATTGTTGAAAGCAACTCTTGTTCCTAGATCTATCCTTTTGCGACGACTATGCAGCCTGATGGGAACTGTGTTCTTGTTACGTTGTGTAACCATGTTTGTGACCTCACTGTCGGTGCCAGGACAACATTTGCAGTGTTCTGGAAAGGTAAGTCAATGAGTCTCCAAGATCTTGGGACAAAGACCTTTGAGGTCACCAGTGCTTTGAATTTTTTTATAGATATATCAGATTCGAGTTAGGCACAGATTCAGCCCTAGTATCTTGACGACAGATAATGATGAAGTCTTATGTTTACTGGCATAATGTGGAAGCTTTTTGAGTATTGGCAAAGTATTGTAAAACATGAAAATGAGCAGGGGGTTGGACTAGATGACCTCCAAGGTCCCTTCCAACTCTGTTACTGCTAACTATTAATTGAAATATTGACAGGTGTATCATGCCTGCATAATGTACATTTGGGGACTTTGAACCCTTTAAAATGGAACATACCAGTGAAGTATAAAACTCATTTATGCAAACGGGAGGGCAATTGAAAGTATGGAAATCTAGGTTAACTGTCATTATATCTTATGCCAATACCTGAACCCCAAATACAGGTAGTCCTCGACTTACGACCACGCTTGAGCCCAAAATTTCTGTTGCTACGCGAGACAGCTGTTAAGTGAGTTTTGCCCCATTTTATTAACTTCCTTGCCACTGTTGATAAGCGAATCACTGCAGCTGTTAAGTGAGTAACACAGATGTTAACCGAGTCTTAGCTTCCCTATAGACTTTGCTTGTCAGAAGGTCACCAAAGATCATCACGTGACACGCCCCCACCCCCCGGGACACTACAACCGTCATAAATATGAGTCAATTGCCAAGCGTCTGAATTTTGATCATGGTTGTGTGAAAAACAGTCACAAACAGGGGTGAAATGCTACCGGTTCACACTGGTTCGGGCGAAAGGGTAATAATAAAAGCTACCGGTTTGTCCGAACTGGTATTTCCGACGATTAGCTGTGCCACGTGATTTATATTCACTAGAAAGCAGGAAATCCTTTCTAACGAATCTAAATTGCACAGCACAGCTGTTCCCCCCCTCACTGTTCTACTTACCTTGTCAAGCCTCCTTTTTCTGCGCGCAGCATGGATTTGGCGCACATGCACAGGCAGTGAGCCGGTGGCAAACCGCGGAGGATTTCACCACTGGTCACAAGTCACTTTTTTCAGTGTCGTAATTTTAAACAGTCACTAAATGAACTGCTGTAAGTCGAGGACTACCTGTACATAAAGTACGGTTTAGCATGATTCATTCAGGAACCAAGTCTGCAAATTACCGTATTTTTCGGAGTATAAGACGCACCTACCTTTTTTGGTGAGGAAAAAAAAGAAAAAGAAATCTGCCTCTGAGCAATTTTGCCTCGTTGCAGCCAACAGCCTGCTTTACTTTCATTTTCGTTTTCAGCATAGCTTGATTTGCACAAGGAAAAAAAAAATCTGCTCCAGCAATTTACCTCTTTGCAGCAAGCAGCAGAGCCCTGCACAAAACAGCTGAGAGCAAATCAGCTGAGAGTCGGGAGGCCGATCCAATCAACTTGTGCTAATTAGGATATGCTGAAGCTAAAAGGAGCTGTTTCTTCCTGCTGTTTGCTTGCAAGGAGGTAACTGCTGGGAGGCAGAGGCCAAAGGGTGGGGGCCAGTGGGTGGGCGGAGCTACATTCGGTGTATAACACGCACCTAAATTTTCACCCCCTTTTAGGGAGGGAAAATATACTTATACTCCGAAAAATACTGTATTTTTAAGAGGTAAATGCTTGGTTGCATGCATCCCCTGTGGAAGAGAAGCAAATGCAAGATACCATATTTACTTTACGGTGGGGGGCAATTGCAGTCTTTATCTAAAGTCTCACGTGTTCTCGATGTGTTTCTTTTCAATGTTGTGCATGATTCTAATTCTAGTTATATGGCAATGTGTGGGCAAAACTTCAGCGAGCCTTTGCTATTTGGAGTGGATTTGGCATGACGTTAACAGGAGTACACACCTGTGGAGACTATATGTTCAGTGGCCATACTGTTGTCCTGACTATGCTGAACTTTTTTGTTACTGAATGTAAGTAGAGAATCGGGGGGGCGGAAAACAAAACTGGAACAAAATTATTGTCCATCTAGCTTGCCACAACTTCCGTTCCTCCTTTCTGGTGTGGTGCAACATTCCTGGCTCAGCAGATCCCACAGAGACACTTCAAATGTTGCTCAGTTTCAACCCCCACCGAGAAGTCCTGTTGGATGGAGCTGCTGGGAGTTGTAGCTTGGCAGCTTCTGGAGCCCATCCCTCTTGGTCGCCTAATTGTGAAATAAACTTTTCAGTCCATGGGGCAGACAAAAAAGAGGTTTCAGTTGGAGAAACCAGAAAAATCTAATAGAGGCCATTGGTATTCATGGTTGACTATCCCCCCCCCCAAAAAAATTTGGGATGAACATAATTGCAGAAGAACTATTGATTAGATTAGCTTTATGGATTAGCCTATAGGGCAGTGATGATGAAACTTTTAGACACCGAGTACCCAAACTGTGTGCGTGCATGCCCAAACTGAAAGGTGTGCACATGCGCATGAATGTGTGCGAACATGCACGGGCATGCACATGTGCAAACATGCACCCACTCATGTGCGGACATGCGCATGGATATGTGTGCACAGCAGAGACCCGAAGAGCAGCTGGCCGATGGGAGACTGGGCTTCCCAACGCCGGCAGTGTGGCAAGAGGTAAGATCTTTTTCTTTTGTGAGCTTCTGTTTCGTCGTTTGCAGGGAAACAAGCTCACAAAAGAAACCCCACGGAGATCTGACCTGGGACAACAGCGCGCAGAGAGGGCTCTGACTGCCACCTCTGGCACCCGTGCCATAGGTTCACCATCATGGCCATAGGCAAGGTTGAATCATACATTACCAATAAAATCCCGTAAAAACAATTTAAAATTGCCATCTGGAATGAGCTCCCCCCGGAGATACGGAGGATCCCAGATTTACGCACTTTCCGCCGCGCCCTCAAAACATTTTTATTCCAGCAGGCTGGACTGGCTTGCTTCTCCCTTTTAATTTGCTTTTAGTTTTATGTAAATTGGGTGTTTTTAAATTCGTTTTTTGGGCCAAAATTATTTAACGTACTTTTAATTGGTTTTTTTAACTTTTGTATGATGTATTTTTATCTTGTGCCTGTTCACCGCCCTGAGTCCTTCGGGAATAGGGCGGTATATAAATTGAATAAAATAAAAAATAAAAAAATAAGAATAGGGTAAAATACAATAATTATGGGATGAAATGCAATAATTTAATACATAAATATGTAAAATAGAACAAAATAACATAAATTTATATTACAATCTACCCCAACAATCTACCCCAATCAGGCCCACATATGCTGATGTCAGTTGGACCATTTTAGTCAGAAACTGTGCTGTACTAAATGTCTTTTTCAAATTCTGGCCACACATGAGGTGTGTTGTTTTAATATGGGCCTCCCACTGGGCCAGAACTATTAAATGCTGCCAGGGTGGAGAAAAATCAATGATTTTTTAAAAAATTAAATAAAAAAATTAATTATTTAAATCAGAATTTTTTTATTTAAATTGGATTTTTTTTATTTTTTATCAAATTTATTTTAATAAAATGCTTTTGGAGTAAAAAAATATATCTAAAGATAGGTTTCTATTTAAGATACATTAATAATTTAGTTTAGTCAGCGTGAAATGGAGCTTAGTTATGCAGCAGAGGCTGTATATTCTGCAATCTTTACATTTTTGGTAAACTCATTCAACGAATCCAAGCTCTGCAAGATGAGAGAACATGCACTGCATTGATGCATTCACACAATTTCACAGTAACCATGAGATAAATCATAAAACAAAATTCAGGAATATTCCTTTATCCCATTGTTTTGCAAATCTATGTACACTACAAACAGTATGATTGTTTGAAGAGAAAGGCATCTCTACCACCAGGCTCTTAAGCATGAGGAGGAAGGGCAAGCAGTAAAAATGAAAGTGAAACCTTCTAAGCAGCTTATAAATATAGTATTAAAGAGCACCTGTCATTCAGATCCATCATGGCAGTGCCTGTTAGTGGGCATCCACTCACCGGCTGCCTGCCATGTCCCTCACCTTGTTGTGTCCCTGCTGCATTACCAGCCATCCCATTAAAATGAATGGGACTGTCGGTGAATCAACAGCGGGTCAGAGGAGGAGCCGCTGCAGGACGGAGATGACGGCTGCTCTTTAAAAATTATGATTTAAATCAAGCCTTTTTACTAGTGATTTAAATCATGATTTAAATGCTGCATGTTCCCGTAAATGTGTGTCATTTTGTTTTAGAAATACAAATGAAAAGGATTTATTTATAATTTTGAAACATTTTACTGACCCCAGCATTCATGATCTGTGTACTAATTCTGTGTTTAACCCAGTCCCCTACTTATAAGACATTTAATACAAGCATCGTGAAAAAGAGTTACGCCTGTGTAGAGCTAACTACTTTTGATGTTCTGTAAATTAAATTATAAACTACCGGCAAGCAAGATTTCCAGGCCTCAGACTTACAGTCTAAAGGGCAAAATGAGCGAATGGAAGATAAATATAGTGCAGACATAAGTTATTTTCAGGAGACAAGTTATAACAAGGTCAGAGTCCATGACCGTTGAGCAGCATATTATTATTATTAGGCACTTTAAACCACTGGGGTCTGTATTGCTCTTCCCCTTCCTGTTATTCCTGCTAAGAGAGCAAGTTCCCGTAATTTTTTTTTAAAAAAAATCTTTTATGACAGGAACTGTTCTTCTCTTCCAGAGCAGTTTCTGGTGCTTACTTCAAGCCTTCCTGCTTGCTTCTAGTTCACTGTCTTGTCCAGAACATGTCTAGAACGCAATGTATGAAAAGCTCCCAAGTGACAGGTGATTGACTGCTGTGTTTCCTTTGTAGATACCCCAAGAAGCTGGAACTTTTTGCACACGTTGTCTTGGGTGCTGAATCTGTTTGGGATCTTCTTCATTTTGGCTGCTCACGAACACTACTCCATCGATGTCTTCATTGCCTTCTACATCACTACGAGACTCTTTCTGTACTATCACACGCTGGCGAACACAAGAGCCTATCAGCAAAGCCGGAGAGCCAGGATCTGGTTTCCCATGTTTTCCTTTTTTGAATGCAATGTCAACGGTACAGTCCCAAATGAATATTGCTGGCCCTTTTCAAAGCCAACCATATTGAAAAGGTTAATCGGCTAAAGAATACCCAGCTTAATTCACATCTTCTGAAGTACTTGCAACTAACCTTCTTCAAGAAATGTTGGGCAGGAAGGGTTGTTTTCACCCACAGCCTCTCTCTCCTCTGGCCTTCTTCATCCTCTCCTAGCTTATAAGGTTCAGAGGAGACACATTGCCATTTTTTTAAAACAACACCACCACCAACAGCAATATTCAGGCAAAGTTGTTAAGCTGTAACGAAGTTCTGCATGGATGTGGTGAGGTGAGATGGCCGGTTCAGCAAATCTTATAGCTTTCTTGTTGGGAGGATCTTAAATTGATCTTGGCTGCAGGAATAACTTCAGATCCAGGTACCACCTAAGCAGCTTTGGACCTGTTTGCACATCACGGGTAACCATAAATAGCTGAGTATTGACTTTCTGGTTTGCACCCTTATAGATGGCCCTTGACTTTGGGGTTGATTCTGCTTGTGACTTATTAAGCCATTTTGAATGGTAGACACACGGTTCGAAGGCAAGACTTACAGTCCAGATGGAACTAATAGTAGCAATCTAAGAACCGCTTACGTCCTGCTGTTGAACAGTATGTTTCAACATGAAAAAATGGCGAACAAGCGAGCGATGGAAACTGCCTTGGTCAGGTTGCTTGTGGAAAGCAATAACTCGTGCAGGTAGGGCTCTGTAGGTGCATTCGTGCTTAACTATGTAATGCTTAAATGTGATGTGCAAGCACGTATGTTGTACCTTGGACAAATACGAATACTGACAAAAATGGTCATAGTCATTCAGTAATTGGCTCTCAGTATTTATTTTAGCAAATAAATAAGTTGGGGAACATTCACCCAGGGACATAGGTTTTCCCAAAGCCTTCAGTATGAAAAATATACTGTGTATTAATAAAAGGGGCAAACTTAGCATTTCTGGTGAACGATGCTAAAACTCTGAACAGGCTTGACTGATTTAAGATAAAGAAATTAATGCCATTGTGTCCTCCGGCGGTCCCGAGTGTTTACATTTCATTAAACCGGTAAGAAATACATGAGAAATGAGGTTGGTTGAGATTTTGTGCCACAACTCTTTCAAGTGCAGTATTAAACACTTATTTAAATCCGTGCATGCTTTTTACACATTGACGTTTAGGGGTAGTAATCCTGTTAAATTGGGAGACAAGCTAATAAGTTGAATAAAGGCATGTGGGCATCTTCATGGAGTTTTGCTTGAAGCACATGGGTGATGCACTGAACTCTGGTTTGGGATAGAAGCCCATTTTCCCTCCCCTTCACTGGTAGTCTTCAAAAATATCCAACACTGAAAAAGTTGAAATTTAATTAGCTACTTGAGAAATTTCTGAGATGCTTCTTGGTGGAAGTTAAGTGATGGAAGTTTGGTGGTTTCAGTCACTGACACTTTTTTTGATGAATGGACCGATGGACGAAAGTATGGCGGCTGATTCTTGGCGGCCGTTTATTCTTTTCCCGCGCGGCCGCCATTTTGGCACTTGGAGCTCCTGGCAACCCTCCTTATTTTTTCTCTCTCTGAAACCTACCTTTCATAAAAGTTACTCAGATTTGTTCTTGATCTTTTAAACCATCCACTCAGTTTAAAGCTGAGAGTCCCAATAGCCTAAAAATGGGGATGGTTTTGTGTATTACAAGAAGTTCAGGGTAGGTACAATGTCTCCCCCCCCCCCAAAAAAAGGACCAGTTATTTTAAATCTGGAATGCAAGGTTTGTCTCTTCCATTGTACAAATTAATATGTCACTGTTCGAAGTTGTCCGCAGCTGGATGTGCATAAGGGTTATTTGTAATCCGTTTCTAATTTAGATTTTTAAACTTGACAGTTTTGAAAGTTGTGGTCAAGTCAGTTATATAGTCTTAGTAACTTCATAGAGGGCGAGTGAGTTTCACTGACTCAAAGTAGTCCATCTGTCTTTTGCTTTGAATACTTTTTCAACTAACCAACACTGAATTTTCTGGTGGCGCTCAGATGACTCGACATAGCCCAGTTGCAACCTTTACCCAGTGCTTTCTCCTGATATCTAAATTAGCCCAGTCTCACAAACAGAGAACTTTTTCCAGAACTGTGAATTGGCAGGTAAGAGATCGCAAACTCACTTTTGATGTTGTGCTCTGAGAGATTAATTTCAGAGATTAATATTAGGAGGCATAAAAATGCAGAGCTTCACTTTGAATTTCAAGAAATCTTATCAAAAAAATATACTGTAATAATCTTAAGAGCACCTAAAAGATTATTAACCTATACCTTAAAAGTATTTTCACCCCAGAACATTGTAAATATTTCTAGCAATATTTAATATTGCCCCACTAATACAGTATTCACGTAAAGGTCTTCTTTGGTGTCATTTCAAGGTGAAGTGAAACCGAATCCTTGAAGAGAAAGAATTGCCTTTTTTTCACAAATTCCAGAATGTTCCGGAGAATGCATTGAAACCAAATTTTTTCTATAAAACGATTTTCATGCGCATTGGCCTTTAATTTGCATAAAAGAATTAAGCAGGGAGGTCATCTCCCAATATATTGAAATATAGCATGAGGTGTGTTCTTTTTTTAAAATTAGAAATACAGAAGCAGTTGTTTCTATCAGCTGAAGTGGCAGGTTTTTACGGTAGCAGCCCATGGAGGTGAACAATAAAACAGGCAGTTTGTTGCATTTTGAAGGCAACAATATTCTACCTTGGGTTTGGCCTAGCAGGAAAAATTAAAATGATTTTTTTCTTCACCCCGTTCACGCTTTCGACGCGCTTTCAGTGTTTACCTCATTTTTCCTCGATAGCAAACGTACAAAATGAGTCTTTTTCGAAGTGTGTGTTTTGTCGGCTGTTTAAAAACAAATCTCAGTAAAATGCGACAGTGAATGCCGGATAGGAAGCAGCCAGTCCCTCAGTTTACAGATGCCTTTGTTCAGGGAGTAGGGCTTTGTCCATCAAAAGTATTCTCAAGTTTACAGGCCCAGGTCCGCAGTATTATATGTCTGGAAACGAGGCAACAGAAGTGGCGATCTGGGAACAAACGTACAGGAGCACAACTGAATGACCCTCTGTAGAAGGAGCTTCGATGATCCTTCTCTAGCTGGGCCATGCCATTTCAATCTTCATCAGCGGCTTCCTTGATGGGACACTTCCCCATTGAGAGAAAACCATACAGAGCAGGCAACTTTAAGACTTGTGGACTTCAACCAGCAAAACTGGCTGAGGAACTCTGGGAGTTCAAGTCCACCAGTCTTAAAGTTGCTAAGGTTGGAGACCCCTGGTTCAGAGAATTTGGCTTCTTGAAGTCTTAACTAATCTGTTGCTCCTAACCTGACCGACGGGCAACTTTGAAATAATTTCTCATTTTCATTATAATTGTATTTGCACTTTGGATTCTTACTAAAAAAAAAAAAAAATTAGTCGTTCTATGAATTTGTAGTCTGGAAACATCTCATCTTAAAATTAATCCCACCTCAGTTCATTTTGAGGCTGCGTTTCGAACGGATTTCCTCAAGTTGTTCCAAACTGTAACACATTTGTTACACTGTGGATGTCTCCTGTTTGAAACATCAGATTTGATGGTTAACTTTTAACTTTAAGAGGAGCAATATTTACGACGATGTTACCATTGGTTTCGTTTAATTTTTCCAAGCAGGATTCTCTTTATTTGGCCTTTTTGTTCATACTCCGAGTAGAAAAGTAGTAAGGGTAAGACTGACAATTTCAAAATCTGGCACGTGTCATTTTGTAAATCGGGAATACCTCATGAACTTTAAATGATGTCAGTCGGCAGTAACTTTGTATTAGACTAAGGCCCTTGGTTCAGTAGTTAAGGTTTTCCTGCTGTTCTCTCCATCCGTTATCTAGTCTGTTAAGAACTGTGATATATTCTGCTATTGTCCCAGCACTTGACAGATATTTAATTAAATTAATATTGGCATATTCTCATTATGCCGTCAGCAGTTTCTGTGAATTTCGGAGTATCTGTGTAGCCATTCTGGGATTCCCTTTCTTTCCGCTTCCTAAGAGTAACTTTAAGTAATGGTAGACATCTGTTCTCATTGCCCACCAAAGCAAAGAGTATCTGTGACCACAAAGCTGGCTGCCATGTGTTGAATTGGGCAGGGATGTCTTGCTATGAGTTAGGAGGAAGAAAATGGGGATGTTAAGAACCTAAAAACACATGTATTTCTCAGGAGGAAATTTGCAAGTTATCTTGGCCCTACTCTCTGATTTATATTTGTTCTGATTTGCTAAATTTGGACTAAATTCTAAGTCCAACACAGGATTATCACTTGACCATCTGATTAAAACCAAGTTTTTACAGACCAAAACATTTCACTGCTATCGTGGTGGAGGGTTCTCTTTCAGTCACAAGTGGCCTCACTTGGCTTGAGGTTATCTGACCATAAAACAAGGAACTGTACACTTCTGCAGCTCTTGTTTCCTTAGTTAGAGGCTAAACGTAGTTACTGTTTTGCTGAACAAAACCAAAGCAAGGGAATAGTAACCGGGCTAAAGTTGTTGACTTTGATATATGGCACAGACATTTTGATTTTGATTTCCCCCCCTCCTCTCCCTAAAACACGGTAATGTTTGAAGACTTGAATATTCCTTTTACGTAATGGTTTGAAGCACAGATGTTGTGTAAGTAAAGATGGAATTAGTTCCAACATGAACATGGATTTAATTTATATTGTTTTGTATGTTTTGTGTTAAACTATTGAAGCATTCAATAAAATCTGACAGTTAACTAAACGATGCACTTTCATCTCAGTCACTATCTAATAAAAGCAAAAAAAAGTCTCTCTTCGTTCATCTTTCTTCTATTAGTCCACTTCACAGGCTCTAGAATAGCTCCTTCCAAGCCCACCACAACAGAACAGGTTGAACGCTGCGAATATTTTGCTGCCTCCCTCCACGTCAGCTGATCAAAAATCCAAAGCAAAATTCAGCCTTTGCTAGAGTTGAGAGATTCTGCTGTATCGGAATGATAAAATCATTCCAACGCTTTCTCCTAAAGAACAGGGGTAGCACCTGGTCTCAGAAAAGCTACATGTCAGGGTTCCGACGGATGCCTTAATTGTTCTGACCTAGGCTTCCTTAGAAAGTAAATAGCACAAACTTAGTCCCGGCAAACCTCTTTAATTCATATGGCTGTAAACTACTTTCATTTACAGTCTGCAAGGCTTGATAAACAGTCTTTCAGAGGAAAGTTATCAACACCCACCTATCTCATGTGGAATGCTGCCAAAGAGCTAATTTCCAGATGCAGGGCAAGGCCAAACTTGGCACAGAGTCACAAACAGAATTTTCAAATCTTGAATCAGACAGATTAACTAATTGCTTCCTGCAAAAACTCACATCCCATTCTCTTCTCTTTTATGTCTTATGGGAGGGGCCAATCATCTCCAAGCCTTACTCCCAAGTCGACCCTGTTTCCTTAATTGTTCCTGTCTCCTGGCAGCTCTGCGCATGCGCACACTGGGAACAGGCTCACACTGTTCTTCTGCCTTGCTGATGTCAGACTCCTGAAGCAGCAAAGAACTACCAGATGGCCTTGGCCCCCTCTCTGCCTCCAACTCAGAGCCATTGTCTGAGCCTTCCCCAGACTCCAGGACTGGCCCATGTTCCTCCCCAACTCCTCACTGCCCGAATGTGCTGCCACCTCTGCTGGATGCTGGCGGGCCACAACACTAATTAAATCACGAGCCTTGAGCCAAGCTTCAAAAGAAATCCAGTTATTTATTAGGAGCTTCATGTCGGCACGTTCCAAGTGAAGCCAACTCTGACCCCACGTAATTTATCCCCCAATTATGACCCTGTTTCCCCCCTCCCCCTAGAGTGTGTCATCAATCACATTCGCCAATGGAGCCGTTTCGTGGGTTGTAGAGATCACTCCCCTCCAGCCACTGTGGGTAACCCTGGGAGACAGCCTTGAAAGAGATATATCTGGAATGCGCTTCTGTTTTTGGCTGCCGTGCTGCTTTGTCAATTTCCCAGTCCCCCTTGCGTATGGCAACTCAAGAGCGGGCCAGGGATGCTTTGCGAGTTGACACTACATCTACAATGACACCTGGCACAGGAATACCATTAGCAGCCAAACTGCAGTAACTTAAAACGTGACAGCGTTGGGATGTTATGCGAGGATTAGCGAGACTAAATGTCAGGCCCAGAGACGAGACTGCTAGATCCAACTGAATCCAATCCTTTTAATTGCTTACAACTAATGGACAGAATCTTGCCAAATGAAAGCTATAACCCTCTTAAGGGACTAGATGTATCCCAAGAGATTCTAGGGCAGAGGTGTCAAACTCGATTTCACTGAAGGCCACATCAGGGTTATGTTCGACCTCCAGGGGCCAGGGTGGGTGTGGCCAGGGTGGGCGTGGCCATCTCAATGTCACTTGTGTCAGGGACACCTGTGGTGGCCTCAGCAATCTGCCAGCTACGACGGCCTCCTGCGGCCCTCCCAAGCTCCATTTTCGCTGGCAGAGGCAGCGCGGGCCAGTCCTTCACTGTTTTCAGGTCGGTCCTGTGGGGCATCCATCTCGCGCGCCTTGAGTTTGACACCCCTGTTCTAGGGGGGGGGTTACCCCGAACCTCTTCCTACCTCCCCCATCCAGCTCAGGACTGAGTAGTGTCTTAATCCGGGCCTCTTCCTGGGAGAGCTGTGGGTTGCCAAGTGTTCCCCCCTCTGCTCTTGCACAGCTCATCACATCAAGTTCACATTTCATGGTTTGCAACATACAAAAGTGGATCCCAGGACCAGGCCTGCTGTGGATCCTGTCATCAAGGAACTCCAACTGATGGGATCCAGGAGGGCAGCCTTCTCTGCTGTTGCTCCTGCCCTGTGGAATATCCTGGCCACCCACCCCTGGTGGTTTGCCCACCCTCCTATCCTTCCACAAGGGCCTAGAGGCCTGGTTCTGCCCTTTGGCTTGGGCAGGGGTCAGCAACCTGTGGCTCCGGAGCCACATGCGGCTCTTTGGGCCCTCTGCTGTGGCTCCCTGTCAGGTGATCCCACCACTGGCTGGCCCCGCCCCTCGCCCTCTCCTCCCAGTCACTCCTTGCCTGGCCTAAGGCGGTAAGGGCGACAATGGGGGATGGAGAAGTGACCAGGGCAGAGACATAGAGATACAGAGAGAGAGGGAGGGAGGGGAGAGAGAGAGATGTCAAAAGGATTTTGTGGTTCCCGGTGTTTTTTAAAACTGGTTCTCTGCCCTAATGACCGGCTGGGTAGGCATGGCTAGGGGGGTCATGTGACTGGTGGAAGTGAGTGACATTGAGTTGGCCACGCCCACTCAGGTTTTGTGGCTCCTGGTGTTTTCTTTTCTGTGGGAAACGGGTCCAAATGGCTCTTTGAGTATTTAAAGTTGCAGACTTCTGGGCTTGGGGAAAGTACATCGCTGGAGGTGGTTGCTGGGCTAATTACCTGACACCCACCTCCCCTCTCCCCAACCTTCCTGCTCCCCCCTCCACTCGTCTTTTTAATTCCGCTTCCATTGTTTTATTCCTTTGCTATTGCTATGTTTACATTTTTTTTAATAATTCCCCCCTCCCCCTGTTTTATTGTTGTAAGTCATCCATAGTAGCTCCACAGAGAGATGGGTGGCAAATAAATTTAACAAATAAGTAATAAACAAATTGAAGGAGAGGCTTCCTGAATCATTAAGGTAGTCCTCAACGTACTATCACAATTGAGCCCAAAACTTCTGTTTGCTAAGCGAGATGTTAAGTGAGTTTTGCCCTGTTCTACAGCCTGTCTTGCCACAGTTCTTAAGCGAATCACTGCTGTTGTTAAGTTAGCAATACCGTTGTTAAGTGAAGCTGGATTCCCCATTGAGTTTGCCTGTTAGAAGGTCGCAAAAGGAAATCATGTGACCCCCCCCCGGGGACCCTTCAACCATCATAAAAACGAGCCAGTAGCCAAGTGTCTGAATTTTAATTACATAACCATAGGAATGCTGCAACAGTCAATAGAATAGAATAGAATAGAATAGAATAGAATAGAATAGAATAGAATAGAATAGAATAGAATAGAATAGAATAGAATAGAATAGAATAGAATAGAATAGAACATAATTCTTTATTGGCCAAGTGTGATTGGACATACAAGGAGTTTGGTGCCTATGCCCTCAGCGTACATAAAAAGACAAGATACATTTATCAAGAATCACAAGGCACAACACCCAGTGACAACCATAGGGTACAATAAGCAATCAAATCATACTAGGAAACAATCTCAATATAAATCGTAAGGATACAAGCAACAGAGTTACAGTCATACAATCATAAGTGGGAGGAGATGGGTGATGGGAACGATGAGAAGATTAATAGTAATGCAGACTTAGTAACTAGTTTGAGAGTGTTGAGGGAAATATTTGTTTAGCAGAGTGATGGCATTCGGGAAAAAACTGTCCTCGTGTCTAGTTGTTCTGGTGTGCAGTGCTCTATAGTGTCTTTTTGAGGGTAGGAGTTGAAACAGTTTATGTCCAGGATGCGAGAGGTCTTTAGATATTTTCCCAGCCCTCTTTTTGACTCATGCAGTATACAGATCCTCAGTGGAAGGCAGATTGGTAGCCATTGTTTTTTCTGCAGTTCTAATTATCCTCTGAAGTCTGTGTCTGTCTTGTTGGGTTGCAGAGGCAAACCAGACAGTTATGGAGGTGCAGATGACAGAGTCAATAATTCCTCTGTAGAACTGGATCAGCAGCTCCTTGGGCAGTTTGAGCTTTCTGAGTTGGCGCAGAAAGAACATTCTTTGTTGTGCTTTTTTGATGACCTTTTTGATGTTAGCTGTCCATTTTAGGTCTTGAGATATGACAGAACCTAGAAATTTGAAGGTCTCTACTGGTGATACTGTGTTGTCTAGTATTGTAAGAGGTGGTAGTATGGGAGGGTTTCTCCTAATGTGAAAAAATGTGAAAAAGAAGTCATAAGTCATTTTTTCCACTGCCGTTGTAACTTTGAACGGTCACTAAATGAACGGTTGTAAGTTGAGGACTACCTGTCCATCTAGTGGTGTCATTTTTTTTTTATAACAGCCCAAAAGTAGTTTACTATTGCTTGCTTTCTCTCCTTCCTTTACCGTCTTTTGATTTTTCACCAACTGTTTATTCAGCTCTGACTCAGCTTTGTCCTTTGAGATCAGGTGCCTGCTGCCCTCTGCTGATGGACTTGCTTAATTAAGCTTTCTGTCATTCTAAAAAACAGTATTTGTCTTTTAAGCCTTTTAAAGGTAAAGGTAAAAGTAAAGGTTCCCCTCGCACATATGTGCTAGTCGTTCCCGACTCTAGGGGGCAGTGCTCATCTCCGTTTCAAAGCCGAAGAGCCAGCGCTGTCCGAAGACGTCTCCGTGGTCATGTGGCCGGCATGACTCAATGCCGAAGACGCACGGAACACTGTTACCTTCCCACCAAAGGTGGTCCCTATTTTTCTACTTGCATTTTTTACGTGCTTTCGAACTGCTAGGTTGGCAGAAGCTGGGACAAGTCACGGGAGCTCATCCCGTTACGCGGCATTAGGGATTCGAACCGCTGAACTGCTGACTTTTCGATTGACAAGCTCAGCGTCTTAGCCACTGAGCCACCACCTCCTTTTAAGTCTTTTAATTTGGACATCAACAGATTCCTTAGTCCCACAATTGCCTCTGAATGCTAGTTTGAACTTGTTCAGTAACTGCTATGCTGCATTTGATTTGGTTGCCAGAAATCATAGGAGGTAGCCCTATTAAATGAGGATGTATACGGTATTAA